AACAACAACAACAACAATAATGACAATGATGACGATGTCAACGATGACACCTATGGCGACAACGGCGACGGCGATGACGATAACAACGACGACGAGTACGACGACTATGAGAACGGCAAACGACTGGGTAATTCGAACAGCAAGGAGCAACAGGAAAGTCGCAGTCGCACCGTTCGTACAGAAACATTTGCATGCGACAAGTGCGCAAAGAAATTTTCTACGAAACGTAACTTGCGAAAGCACGCCGTTTCGCATGCTGTTCTGAATTGTAGCATATGCGAAGACGAGTTCGATTCACTGGAGAAATTGAGAAATCATCGTGCGAAACATGTGGTGGAAGGTGTGTTGACCGAGCAAGAACTCGAGATGGATAAAGAGTACGCGATCAAGAAGGAGACTCTTGGGTATGAGACGGAGGGTGATAAAGAAAGCGCGGGGAACGATCGTGGGATAAAAGACGAACCAGTGGCAGGATTGTTGGAGATGGAGAATAATTCGTCAAGGAAAAACGATAGGTAGGTAAGAAGTAAAGATATTATTACGAAGTACGTATTATTTCAATCGTGAATGGAAATCGTACGTGTGTACGCGTCTGTTATTCGTAAACGTTTTCTTGTTTATTTAGAAATACCGAGATTCATCGTCGTCGCTCGGGGATGTACAGCCACGGCTGTAAGATGTGTTGCCAGCAATTCGCGACGAAGGAAATGTTGCAAAAGCATACGGAACAACAACACGAACAACGTGTGAAAACATACAAGTGTACGCAATGTAACAAGACATTCGGCAATGAACTTACCTTGCGTAATCATCTTATAGCCACTAATCACAAGACTTTCCTCCACGGGCAAGAATACGATCCTAATAAACGGATTAAGAGAGTCGCCGCGAGAGCCGCGCAAAAGATTATCGACAAGATTAAAACGGAGGATGGTCTGGAAGACTATGACGATGAAGAAGAGACTAACGAAAGAATTAGTCGCGTCAATTGTACGGATGGTAATTACACTCGGAACAAGCGAGAAATTTCCTCGCAGAAAAGGCATAATTACAGGAAGGAGTTGGAATGCGCGAGTTGCAATAAAAGATGCAGTTCGAAACAGTCGTTGACGAAACATATGGAACAGCATGTAAAGGACGAGCAACAACGAGCGATCAAGTCGGAGAAACAGAAACAATCGGCGGAGAGGAAGGAATGGCAAAAGGACTGTAACAACGAGAAGAAGGATAATAGAGATGACGATTACGATTCGGATTTCGAAAGTGGTTTGGATTGGCCGATGGACAATCACGAGTGCGCAAAGTGCAAGAAACGATACAGCACGAAAAAGTCGTTGTTGCGTCATCAATTGCTGCACGAAGAGCCAAACTTCGAGTGTGATATTTGCAACGTCAAGTTCTACCGCAAAGACAAATTGAAGGCACATTATGACAAGTGTTCGGAGAAGAATCCCGATCAAGTGAGAAAGTGCAACATCTGCGGAGACACGTTCGAGAACAATGAGATTCTACGAGAGCACAGATCGAAACACGTTACCGAGGGCATTCTTACGGAGGAAGACTTGAGAGATATCGAACCGCGACCCGAGGAGAAGAAGCCGGGCGAAAAAATTGGTAGAAAGAGAAGGACCGACATCGTGGGTTTAGAGTGTACCGAGTGCAACAAGCAGTACACGTCGAGGAAAGGGCTTCTACGACACATTCAAGTCCACGAAGGGAAGAAATACCTGTGCGACATATGTCCAAAAAAATTTTATAGAAGGGAACATTTGAAGATACATGTGGCCAAACATAATATGATCAAACCGTACAAGTGTACACGGTGCACAAAGCGTTTCATCAAAGAGGAACAACTAACGAATCATTTGTCGAAACATGATCGAACTTTCAAGAAAAACAAAGAGACGGACAGCTCGAAAAGATTCCTTTGCGAAATCTGTTCCAAGAGTTTCACGCAATCGACCACTCTGATCGCACATCTCAGAGCGCATAATGGCATTAAACCGTACGTCTGCGAGGTTTGCTCGCGACCGTTCACGACCAACGCTTACTTGAAAATGCACATGAGAACGCATACGCAGGAACGGCCGTACATTTGCCAATATTGTTCACGAGCGTTTGCCAGAGCTGACACGCTCGCCAATCATTTGACTTCCCACACAGGCGAGGCCAAGTATCATTGCAAGTACTGTCCAAAGAATTTCCGTCGTCTGAAATCGCTGAAGGAGCACGTTTTCATTCACACTGGTCAAAGGCCTTATGCCTGTCCAACCTGTGATCGACGGTTTAACAACAATGGAAGTCGATACGCTCATAGTAAAAGGTGTAAACAAACTTTTGTGCAAAATCAGAATCGTGCTCAAGCATTGTCCGCGCAAGTACAAACTCAACAAACTCCTCAGACTCAACAAACGAGAGTGCTGCAACAAACCACTCTCGAACAGGGGCAAATAATAAAACCGCAGAATATTAAAACTATTACCATCACTAAACAACCTGAAGCGGTCACCACTCAACAAACGGTTATGCAGCTGCAGGAAATATTGATGCCTCTGATCCTTCCTCTCACGGTCACTCTTACCGACGTTGGTGAAGAAGTAATATTACCAGAGGGAACCAAGATATTTACTACGTCGTAAATCTACGACGTAGACGTACAACTTTTCTATGTATTTATTGAATTCTTTCTTTCATTTCCATCCGCAAAACCAAAACCATTTCTTTCTTTCTCAATAATTCTCAGAATAAAGAGAGAGAAAACGAAGAACAGCAAGATGAAAATGTAATTTTTGTAATTACCGCTGTTTTTTGTAATTACTTTGTATTATACGTTGTACATCTCTGTTTATATTTAAGTATGAGTCGTTTACTAGCTGTACGTGGGAATTGGGTAAAGTTGTTTAGTGTACGA